AGAGAGAGAGGGGGGGGGAGGGGGACTACGTGCAAATGCGACTAAGAGCTAATATTTTCTGCAGGCAGGAAAAAAAACCTTCCAATAACAATATTATATTCTAGACCTAGTGGCGACTGAACCGAAGCATTTATCCCATGCCCATTTTCAGAAATGTTAGATCAGGACAAGGGACAATAAATTGTAAAACAGACATTGAGGTCTCGTTTCACATGACACTAAAATAAATTGCAACAAGTTACTACAATGACGAAATGACCCATCAGATTATCTGATTTGCCGATGATTATTTAAGTGATTGGGTTCATCAAAGAATGCAATATGATAATTCTCAATTGATTTCTAATTATTACGCGCAACGTATATCGATCTGCCTAATCCATATTTAACAAGCAGCGCATTAGGAAGCACATTCTGATAATGATTGTGCTTGAAATAAAAGTAATTTGATAAACAAGAACAGCAGGAGGTTGTGACGACAATGTTCGGATAAAATAACAGCAATTTTGTCCTCCAATCAGGTGATGATCCGGACAACAGAACAATGGATATTGTAAGCTTGTTTACATGGCCCAACATCTAGAGATTGAAGTGGCGTAGAATTACACATAAAAACATGATAGGGGCCCTGGTAGAGAGTTCTGGATTTTACACACACGTACCAAAATACAAACACATAAACACACACACACACACACACACACACACACACACACACACACACACACAAACATACACGTGTGTGCACACACACATTTTATAAACACACGCTCGTAAAATAAACATAATTACTATTTTATACCTAAGAAAACTCCAGTTGTGCGCACTTGGAGGGCGGGATAAACAAACAAATTACAGTAATTTTGCCCAGATACAAATTCCTCCCACAAATGAACATCCTTTTGGGAACGGAAAAAAAACACTCCTGATTTCGAATTTACAAAAATGTAAAAAGATTCATCTCTGGTTTACACAATTATAGCGCAAAATAAAAGAAATGCAGTCCATGTATCCACGAATAATGAGGACAACTAATCGGTATAAATAATAATTATTATTATGACTAGTGCCAACGGACGTGCAATATGTACTCCGGATGAGCAACGCAGGGATTTATGTGAAAGAGGGAGAACTCGGTGCACTTAACGTTTGTATGTCACACAAGGGGAATACCCGGATGCAGTGTTCTAAATAGAGATCTTTCTTTCATTGTCAGCGATGATGATCTATAAAAAGAACAATAGTACTCGTAGCAGTAAGGTTATCCCAACATGCAGCCACCACACAAGGATGGAACTGATTTTTAAAAATTTTTTTTTTAAACCTAATGCCCAAAATATGAGAGGGTATAGAGAACATGCAATACCCTCTACCTAAGCTGAACAATATAACCTCATCCTATACTCAGCAGAATCTATGCCTGCGTTCTCTAATAGAATTATTATCCAACAAAGAAATAGGAAAAGTTTCTTTTCCACAAACTGAATGCCATCTAACCCCCCGCCCCTCCCCAAACTTCTCCCACCAGGAATCTCCAATTGAGATTCAGGGGAAACTGGTCTCATCTAAAAAAAAAAAGAAAAGAAAAATACCCCCCCCCAAAAAACAAAAACAAACAAACAAACAAACAAAACAAAACAAAACAAAACAACAACAACCACCAAACAACAAAACCCAACAATCTGACAGTTTTATCTCTGACTCGCAAAATTATCCCACAGCATAAAAGAGACACGACCATAATCATTCTAGTTAGGTCCCTGTGCAATAACAAGGACAATTAAGTTAAATCAATCCGAATTGTGTTAATGCATGAGAGATGTAGTAGAGTTATCTAAAATTGATGAACAACATAAGGATAAAAGTATTATTTTAAAAATCAGAGAAATCGACGCCAATCATATTATGGGTAATTTATACAACATACGTGGATGCCAGCTCCATAAAAAGGGGTATCTGCACTGCCAGTACCCCATGGTTTCGCCTACAACATCATAACTTTTTAGGCTTCATTGCTCGAAACTTTTTTTTACAGTATTATGTTACGTGTCTATTTTCAGCATTAGATAATAGCAATTATTAAAGATCGAAACCCCTATCTGGTAGTTCAATTGTTCGCTGTCAGAGATAATTATCAGCAAATTGTTCAGCCTGCCCCTACTTTGAAAAGGACTAATATCACTTAAAATGTATATTTTCAACCCCTCTTTCCCGAAGAATAGTTAACATTTGAAACCTTATATAATGTTTTATATTATATTGAAGGGTAGAAAAATGTAGAAAACTTTTGCCTTACTTCGATATGCTTTCTCTCTGCTCTGTTGTCTTTCCGCCAGTCTAACTAAGAACCCACTCACCTCCCACCCCCCTCCCTCTCACACAAACACAAAGACATACATACACAATTCAAATCAATAAAATGTATACGTATTATTGAAACACACTCAGACATCCAGCCACCCAGCCACCCACA